GGCCGAGGGCGTGGGAGGACGGGTGCCGCGGGGGCGGGGGCGTCCCAAAATGCTGGGGTATGGCACAGGGGCCTTGCCGCAGGAGTGGAGACAGACCAGCGTCCATCCTTGAGACCAGGGAGGCCATTTGGGCTGCAGGCGGGCAGCGCGCATTCGCACACCCTCGCTCCGCGGACGCGTGCGCGCGTGCTCGTGCACATGCACGTGCACGTGTGTGCGCGTGCACCTGCCCGCGAGCACACATGCCCCACGCCCTCCCGCCCACCCCACCCACCACACATTACTTCATACATACACCATCCATACAAGCGGCTGCACCCCAATCACCTGTTGTTCGCACGGTCGTCGATGATCGACACGCCCGCCGCCTTGGACAGCGCCTCCCTGGCCTCGTCCTCGGACACGGGGCTCTCGAACTCGAGGTTGATCGACTCCGCGTGGGCGCGCATCACGGGGACGCGCACGCAGGTGGCCGCGATCTTCACATCGGTGGTCTGCGGGGGCCGCGGCGGTTGCGGGGCCGGTAGCGGTCGGTCAGCGGCGTTCAGTATCCACACGACCAGGCCCCGTGTGTACGGTGCGCCGAGTGTGCTGAAAGAGTGGCAGGAAGCTTCCGGGCGTCGCGGGGCGGGGCTGCGTCCTCGCGGGCAACTCCCCGCTCGCCGGCAGACGCCGGGCCCCCCAAAGCGTGGCCGCAGTCTCTTCGCGCCGCGCCCCTTTATCGCGCACTCCACATCATGTAGACCAGCAACATCTTTCTGTACACACGCACACGCGCCCGCGCGCACACATGGACATGTACACACACAACCACATGTACATGCATGTGCGCACATGTGCGTGCACATCAACACACACACACACACACATATGCAAACACACACCTGCACACACACATGCCCACAAACACACACACACACACACACACACACGCGCGCGTGCCCAAACCATCCCCCCCTCACCCCCCAGATCTTCTTGGTCTCCTTGACCAGCTTGAGCTCCTCCTCATTGTACCCGACCTCGACGTCCATGCCGCTGTTGTGGCTGAACAGGTTGAACGCATACTGCAGCAACAACCAATCACGTTTTGCCCCCACAGGCGACGGGCGGGGCACAAAGGGTGGACGGGCTGTCAGAGCGCGGAAAGAGCGGGCTCCCGAGCAGGGCTCGCGTCGGGAGCGAGCGGCTGGGCTGCGGGCGGCCTCCTTGCCGGGCGGGCGGGCTGCACCCCCCGCTGGCAGGCGGGGCGCCGCCGGCTTGGCAGAGCACCTGCACCTTTGTGCCCCTGCCTCCCACATACGACGCCCCAACCCGCCGCAGCCAAGCCGTGAACATCCCGCCCCACCCCGCCGGCCCTGCGCCGCTGCAAGCGGCGCACCAAGCACGGGGGTCTGCGCCGACCGCTCCGCACGGCATGGCATATGCCGCGGCGCCTTCTGCCGTGCACAGCGCGCACAGCACGCACAGCGAGCCCACAGCAGGGCTGACCTGGTGGGGGAAGATCTGGGGGTTGGCGGGCTTGCCCTCCAGGACGTCCTTGGTCTGTGACCGCAGCTCCTCCATGGCGGCCGCGCCGGCGCCGGAGGCGGCCTGGTAGGTGCTCACAATCATGCGCTTCACCTGGAGGGTGAGCGGGGAGGGACAGGTGTGCGTGTGTGTGTTTGTGTGTGTGTGTGTGTGTGTGTGTGTGTGTGTGTGTGTGTGTGTGCACATGTGCAGCATCAATTGTGCAGGGTGTCGCGAATGTGACCCCATCCGTGCTGCCCTTTGCAACCCACAAAATCAGGCCCGCCGCAAACTTGGCCTCACGCGGCAGAATCGGCCGGCCTCAGGCGGCGCCCCGGCCGCCCAGGCGCCGCCATCCCCACACGCGCCCTACGCCCCTTCCCTCGCTGCCTCTAGCGACGCGCATGCGTCCCTGCTCGCAACCCCGACCAGTCACGGGCCGCTCCGCGACGGCGGCCTGAAAACCAAGTCGCCGCTTCTCGGCCCAACAGAGCCCTCGATTTCCCGCATCCCCGCAAGCAGGAGTCACCCGCCAACCTTGGACACCCGGTGCAGCGGCGTGACGGCCATGAGCGCGATGATGGTGGAGCAGTTGGGGTTGGCGATGATCGCGCCGCCGCCGCCGATCTTCACGTGCGCCATCGCCTCGGGGTTGACCTCCGGGATCACCAAGGGGACGCCCTCGGTCATCCGGAACGCGCTGCTGTTGTCCACCACCTGGGACGATTAATTTTTGGTTTGTTTTGGGGGGGGTGGTTTTCCGAGCTGGGCCGGGTGGAGGGCGCGTTGTGGGCATTCGAGGCGGCCGGGCCGCAGAGCCAGGCGGACGACGCCGACGCCCACGCGCGTGCGCGAGCGGGCGCGGGCGGCCCCGCACCACGGCGCCGGCCTTGGCGGCCACTGGGCCGAGCTTCTTTGATATGGAGCCGCCCGCGGAGAACAGGGCAATGTCCACATCGCCAAAGCTTTTTTGAGAACAGGGTGAAGGGTGGGGGTGGACAAGGAGGGGGTGCAGGGGTTTGAGCGGGACCGGAGGTGGGGCTGGGGGCGGGCCACCGGGACGGCGTGCTGGGTGGCAGCCTCGGCCCGCTTGAGTTGGTGTGCGGGGCGGAGGGGCGCCCGCGAGCCTTTGCTGCTGCACGCAAAATCCGCGACGCACCGCCCGCGCCGACAGCCGGCGGGGCGCCACTCGGCCGGGCGCTGCTGCGGGCGATGCGAGCCGCTGCGCCGCCCACTGCAGGCAAGCCGCCGCCGCCGCCTCCGTGAGCGCCAGTGAGTCGGGCCCCCGCCGCCGCGCTGCGACGCCTTAGCCCCTGTTCCTGCGCCGTTGCGATTGCGCCACTGCTGCCCTCAAAAGCATGGCAACATCCCCGACCCCCACACCTGTTCTCCGTCAGCTCCTCAATAGTGTAGGTCTCCCCCTCAAACTCCTGCTGCTTGCCCGCAGACCTGGGGGTGTCGCATGGCGGGTGCAGATGTGCGACAGCTTGCATGCATGGGGTGCAAATTCAGTTGATGCCGGCACGCGGCTGCCAGGGACGCAGTGTGTCGCAGGCACCACAAGGGAGCCAAAGGGCAACCAACGAGTGACCCTGAGGCTGGGCAGACCAGCTCAGCTCGGGCGACGCGCGCCGTCGGCGCAGCGACACAGGGGATGCCGCACGGCTGCTGCTGCGGCTGGTAGTTGCAGCTTACAGCATCTGCATGGGTCCACAACGCCTGTATGGGCTCGGCGACGCGCTTGCCAAGTGCATGGCCCGGCAGTTGTGCGACGCCTCGCGCGCCCTTGCATGCGGCGGCGCCTGCATGAGCATGGCCCATGCAACACTCCATCTCTGCCAGTGATGCTGCCGACGCTAATGCTGCCACAGCTTCCGCTGCCGCTGCCGCTGCCGCTGCCTCTGCTGCTTCAATTGCCGCTACTGATATTGTATCAAACCAATGGGCGAGCCGAGGCGGTGGTTTCAAACATTATGAAACCACCGCCAGGTCATCTTAGCCGAACCCTGGCCCACCCGACCACCGCCACCCACCTGGCGCTGGCCAGGAGCTTGATGCTGCTGTATGGGAAGTTGCGCTCATGCAGGACCTGCGAGGCGGCGGCGCCGATGCAGTGATGCAGCGAGTGCCGCAGGGCGGGGCGATCGAGCCGGATACAGCGGCGCAGCGGCGCACCGTAAGGAACTCCTGCCCGACCGCGCCGGTCACGCCCACGACGGCGATGCGGGGACCCTTGGGGTCCTTGGCCGCCTGCACGGATACCACACGTGCCCTGCTGCCCCGGATGCCAGCGCTGACGCGCATTTGCCGCTGAGCGAGCTGCATTTTGGCGTGCCGGCTGCGACCACTATGCAATCGGGGCCACTGATTGTACCTTAACTGTCACCCTGAAAAGGAAAGAGGCAGGATACAATCACGACATAAGTCGGGCCGCGGTTGGTGTGGCTTTGTGTCCCCTGTGCTCCCGTCGAGCCAGCAGCATGTGTGTGGGGGAAGGTGTGATCGTCCGGCAACAAATTTGTAGCCCGTTATAATTGACGGTCGCTTTCTCGGAGTCGTAGGCAGGCAGCGCTGACGAAATCAGTACGATGACATTGCTTGACCTAGCAGCGAACACGGTACATTTGGCCGAATCACGAGTGGGTGTTCTTGTGAATTTATTTTCAGTCATATGTTTTGTTGCTGAAGCGGATTGCTAGTGCATCGAGAGCAGGGCGCACACCCTGAGCGACCGCTGTCAAACGGTTCAATGCTGCTTGCCGCAGCTGAATTTCCTAGCCCCAGGTGCGGGCTGGCGGGGAAACACAGCTTCCGCATGTGCCCCTAGTCCCACATGCCTGCTGCCTTCTGCCTTCTGCCCACTGCCCTCCATTGCTACCCGCCCCCTGTAACGACAAACTGCACGGAGCGGTGTTGCCCGAGCACAACGCTGGTCGTCATTACTGCGGCTGTACTTGCATGGCCGTGGACGACAAGGGGATTGTGGGACATGCTTGCATTTCATGCGCAGCGGCAACACCTTGGTTATATGAAGGCCGGCCGCAAGCCGCCAGGCACCGACCTGATGGACATACGTAGCACATGCATCAGTTGGCACGAGCGCACAGTGTTTGGGGTGACCCCAGGCGTTGTGAACCCTCCGTGTCCGCTGGCAAAGAGCCAGCAGATGACAAGGCCTGCTTCCTGCGCGCCATCGCGTGCAGCAGGTTTATGCGACGCCGACGCAGCTGCTGCACCCGGCGTATGCAAAAAACGACCACATTTGGCCTACTGCGGTGCAAGTGCGTGTGGGCAGCGCCTGACAGCGGCCCTGACCAATGGACAATCACGGCATGAAATTGCTGGTATGACGAGCAACACGACTCCTTGCACAGGAGAGGTCCTGAAAGAAAGGGGCCCACAGAATCTGTAGTGCCGTTGCAATTGTTGAACTTGCAGGTGAGTCATTCAGGATGCATGCTGAATTGCCGCTTGGCCAGCGGCTGCAAAGCCCTGTTGCACTTGCACACGTGCAGATGACCTCACATGCAAAGTCACTCAATCATTCCTGAGTGCAGCTGCTTCCTATTGCGCGGCCGCAGCCGCGGCCGCCGTCTGCCCTGCTGCCTGCGCCGCCGCCGCCGCCGCCGCCGTCGCCGCCGCCGCCGCGTCGCCCCCATGCTGCAGCTGCGCCCTCCGCCGGTCCAGCGCCGCCAGCGTCTGCCCCAGGCTCGGCATGTAAGGCCAGGACGACACCAGCAGCCGCACCAGCTGGTCTGGCTGCAGGAGCAGCGGCTCGGTGGAGAGCAGCACCAGCACCGGCAGCAGGCGCCGCTGCTCCTCCCGCAGGCTCCAGGCCAGGCGGCTATCGGCGCTCTGAAGGACGCCCGGGTCGGCCGGGGCAGAGGCGGCGAGGAGCGAGAGGCGAACGCGGTCGCGGCGCAGGGCGGCGGCGCGGGGGCGCCACCACTGACTCAGCATGGCGAACTGCAGGTCCTGGATGGGTCGGCCGCAGATTCAGAACGAGGTGTTGTGTGGTGATTTCTTTGTCAGCTGGCAGAGGGTCGGCAGCAACACTGGCGAGCTAAAATAGAGCGCTGACACGTGCGTAGGTACGCAAGTGGGTGAGGCAGGGGCATTTTGGGTTGCAGGCGGCCCCCTCGAACCGTTGTGCACGCCGCGGCATGTTGCTGACATCAGGCGCTATGCATGGGCGTCAACTCAAACACTGAGATCGCAACCAGCACGTTTGCGCCTTTCGAATCACGGCTCATCACCTGCTCTGGGGTGAGAGCGAGGGGAGGCGGCGACTGCATCCCACCTGGGGTCAAGGTGCGGGCAGGGGGCATTGGCAGCAGTGTGCACTTATGTGGTTGCAGTTGCTGCACCAACCGTGCCCACAGGGACCATGTGCGAAGCATGTGTAGGCTGTGAAGCACGCATGCAGGATCCATGGGGTGCGTGGTAGCCTTGTACCAGTCATGCTGTGCGGGTGAAAATGCCTGCACACACAAGAGTGGGCTGCTTCTGGCATTGAGTCCCCACTCAGATATCAGGACCACAAAATTTGTGGTGCTGCCGCGCCAGACCCGCCGCCCATTTTGAGACGGGCACCGCCACGCTTTCGCCGGTGATCATGTTGGAGCCCGCCGCCTCAAAGAGCCAGTGGCTGCCGTTTATGTAGCCCCCAATCGTCACAGCGGCCAGGATATGAACCCTCTGTGATGAACAATTGCAAGCGGCGATCCGGGTCAGATGATCAAATCACACACGACACTGCGCAGTGTTAGTTGTGGCACAGTCGGTCAGAAGCCAACAGCAGATCGTGTCCAGCCCGCGACCTTGAGCACCGTCACGCTTCCTCCGGCATAAAGATGTTGGTGCCGCCACGCACATGTGCCACCTCATCAGAGCTGGTGTTGCCATGCATGGCCTGCGGCACCTGCATCGCCTGCACAGCCAGCACCCCGACCGAGTCTTTCCACCACTGCCTAAACTCCGAAGGGCAGGCGTGAGCGCGCCGCGCCGTGGCGATGCTGGAGGGTCCACCAAAGGGTTGGTCGGGGGGGGAGGGGGTTGTGGAGATGGATGGCAGAGACGCTCTAAGGGTTGCAGAGAGTGAGCGGTCCCACGCAGATTGTGCAGACCTCGGGGTGTGACGGGCGTGTCAGTGGGATGTTGCGGGCTACCGGCGGTGCTTGCATTCCACCAGCCCCATGTCCTGCACGCAAGCGCACGCACGCATGCACGCACGCACGCACACACTTACACACGCGTGCGCGCGCGCACGCACACACACACACACACACGCACACTACTTGTCCCCCCACCTCAACATAAAAGTCTCCAGATCGGTACCAACCGCCCCTGGCAGGCCCTCCGGCGGCAGAGCAATGTCCTGCCCTTGAAATGTCACTCGGCTGGCGCGTGCGCTGGTGCTGTTGCCTGGGGATACGCTCCTTGCTGCTGCTCCTGCTACCCTTACTGTCCTGTCTGCTTGAGCTGCCGCTGGTGCCGCCGCTCCTGGCGGCGCAAACGACGCCGCCAACATCGGCTGCGGCAGCGCCGCCGCTTCCGTTGCTGCTGCTGCTGCTGCTGCTGCTGCTGCTGCTGCTGCTGCTGCTGCTGCTGCTGCTGCTGCTGCTGCTGCTGCTGCCCGCTCTCCAGGCGGGCCGCCGAGGCTGTCCTGCCCACTGGTGCCACACGGGCACGCGCACAAGCGGGGCTGTCCCTCGCCCCCGTTCTGGTCGTCCCCTGGCAGCGCGCCCCCGCCCGAGCCGCCGCATCTCGTCAGCTGCAGACTCATCAGGCGCCCGAAAATCGCCTCCAGCGAACTCGCGCCCTCCTGCCGCTCGCCGTTGCGTGCCGGATCTCCGTCGCCCGTGTCGAGGCCGGCGGCCGCAAGCGCGTTGGTGAGGGAGCACAGGCGGCCGATGATGCGGTGGTGGGCCTGAGCGCGTGCCTGCCGGCGCCTCTCGTTGCCCATCTGCTGCTGGACTGCAAGCAGACCTGCCTGGGCGTGATCTGCGATAGATGCATTAGGGAGGCGTAGCATGAGGTTGCGGGCGCGAGGCTTGGGGCATGGGGATAGGGGATAGGGGCGGAGGGTGCGGCAAGGTGGTGCGAAGGGGGATGAGGGAAGCGGGGCGCGGATGGACGGCAAGGGGGTCATCTGGGAGGTGGGTGCATGCACGCACGGCCCATGTGAAGAGGTGCAACAAGGGCGACAGCTGTGATGTGTGGGCGGTATACAGGTTGCCCTGCTCATCTCGACGGACACCCCAATGCCGTCCAGGTTGGTTCACCTAGGGTGCTGAGTAGCTTGCTTCTCTTCCTGTTAGTGTCCCGCTGGCTGGCGGGGCCGCTACGCACCGTGATGGGTGGCGCAGCTCCATCCCCTCCCTCCATGCTCAGCCTGCTTGCTCAGACCAAACCCTGCGGCCTGGGCAGGTTGCCGGCTGGATCCAGGTCCCTCCAAGCCCGGGTAGGCGTCACGCGATCGAAAAATTATTCCTCAACGGGCTTCCGCGCATGCGTGATGGGTGATTCTGGCCCGTCTGCGCATTGCCTTCACATGTGATACCGTATGCTGAGTTCAGGGATGCACGTGCAAGCGACCTTGGCCTGTTGCTGCGCTGAGACAAGATGTCAACCGCAGCCACTGACCGTGAGTCAACCATGTAGCAGTGACCACGGGCAATCCCGGGCACCAGCTTTTCAACGCAACCTCATAGCAACCTGACAAGGTGATGTATGTCTGAGCCGGTCTGATTTTGGTGGCGGGGTGCCCAGCGCACCAGGTCGCTCAAAGTGCGGACAATGTGTAATCGATTTGCCGTGTTACCCGCGCAGCCCCAGCCAGGAGGCACTGCAGGATGAGAGCTGCAGCTTCCACAGCTCGTGTGAAAAATTACTGCAGACAGTTAAAAGAGGCTTTTAACTGTCTTTATTCAAAAGAGGCTTTTTATCTACTGTATCAACGAGTTCTTGTGGAACGGATACGCGCAGGGAAACCCCACTCGTTGAGCACTCTGCTGCTGAAGTACCTCACACTTTCCACTCCTGCCGGTGAGGCAGTGACGGCCGTCGACGACCCCAAGGTAGTTGAGGTATACTTTCATTAGATCTATAGTATCAAGCAAATAATAGGGTGTGTGGGTGCCCTCTGGTTTGTTCGCGGTCAGCCGGCATGCACGACACCACCAGCTGTTGGCGCGGCCTAGAAGTCGTCTCATCTCAACTACGCAAAATACTTCAGCAATAGCTATACAGGGAAATCAGTACAATCTGGCTGAAGAAGGGTGCCTGACAACACATGGCCGAGGGCTGTTGTGCGTGCGCCGCGCTGCGCCCATGCAAATACTGTTGAACCACACGGGGGACATATCAGGCTGCTGGGAGCAGCTTGCAGGGTGGATGGTGCACTGTAGGCGTACTTATCAGAGCGGGTGCAAGCACGCGCTGCTGCAACAATCCTCGGGCTGAAGTTTCAAGTGAAATGGGAGGTGGTTGCCCGGCAGCTTGTGCAGCAACCCAAGTGACGCGGCCTCACACGCCCTGCTGCTGCCGCCGCCGGCGTAGAGTGATCCGTCGTCCCGCTTCACTTACGGCATGCCCTCGCACGCCGGCCCGCGCATGCAGCTGGTGCCACGAGAGGTGCTGCGCGGGAAGTCACGGCCGGTCATGCAGCTGTGAATGGTGCGCGGCGCCATTCCACTACACGAGCTGCATGCGATAAACGCAGCTGGGCGTTGACCTACGGCACAACTTGCTTGTGCGACGGGCCACTTTGCCATGATGATCGCGGTCGGGCTGTGCCAATGCAAACCACCCGAGTCGCCAGCGCCGCTGGTCCTGTTGCCTACGGAGGTGCGTACGGTGTTGTTTATGCTGCAAACAGAGGAACTGATTGTGAAATGTGTGGGACTCAGCTGCGCTTTGAACGTCAAGACCTGGCTTCTGTTGAATGCTGCCGGCTGTACGTTGGCAGACTCCAGTTGCATGTGGCTGAACACGGGCGGGACAGTCACCGGAGTACGGTGCGATCAACAGACAACGCATCAATTAGGGCGGTGATCGCACACTGCTGCGAAGTAGCTGACTGACTGTGGTGGGCGGGATTGGCGGTGTGCAACGGCCTCCGCGCTGATTGCTGACATGCTGGACAGCACAGGATCGCTTTGATCTGCTGTAAATGATGAGGTAGTGGTCATGCCTGACTATGACAGTGCTATGGGTGCATCAGGCAGCACTTGACAGCAATCTGCGCATGCTGCTGCCGCCGCTCCATGCTGCTCGTGCTGTTGCTGATGAGGGTGCGAACACTCGGATCCGGGGTGGGGCAGCATTCACGGGCTAGCTGGCGGCATAGAGGATGTGTGCACGAGCCATCTGAGCGCTGGGGCATCGCGTAAAGCCACGGACCGCAACGGCAGCGTGATCTGGCGGCCGGGCCTGGCTCAGTCCAAAGCTGCATGACCTCTCGTGACCCTATCTCAATCACAGGATCCGCGTATGCTTCTTGAGGTTGCCGGTGATTCGCTGCGGCATCAAGTATGGCCTGGGTGCGCGCAGCGATCTGCCCTGAGCGTGTGCTCTCTCTACCGTCCCACCTGCTTGGCCCGAGCCCGCATGCTGATGATCCTGCAGGAGCCCACGTGCGTTGAACACGGGGAGTTTGGAGGAGCCGAGGAGCGCAAGCGCTGGCCTCAGCCTGCCAGAAATTCAACCCTGGAGCACCCCCGTAGGAGCCTCCCGCCACAGGCACCCACGACGTGCAAGGTGGGCAGCCTGCGACGAGCGGGTGGCCTGCATGATCACCACCACACTCGGGTCAGGTAAGTATGAAGAAGCACAGGGCGCGCGCGCATTTGTAGCGTGCTGTTCGCGCCCGCACGCCTGCCAGCTTCGCCGCGGGTCCGGCTTCCAGAGCTGTTCCAGAGTCTTCCAGGGGAGTGCGCTGGCTCGTTTGGCTTGCCGGAAGGCTCTGAGCGTTGCAACCCGTGCAAGAGGCGACACCACCGCCGCAGACTGCTGTCTAGCGCGGCCGGGCGCGGGATTGCGACACTGGCACGGCCCCCAGCTGTTTGCTGCTCGCGCTTTGCGCAACCACCCCGAGACGGCGGCCACTGCCCCGTGCACATGCAAATCCAGCGGCCTTGTTACAGCCCGACGTCCTCATCACCACCACTCAAATCTATGGGGATCGCATCAGCCTCTGCCGCGCGCTCCAGCACAAACCCGGCCAGCCCCATCTCCGGCCGCGGCGCCGGCACCACCACCCACGGCTCCGCCGGCCCCGCCGAACCGCCCTCAAACCGCCAGGTGTAACGCCGCGCCAGCAGCGCCAGCAGAAGCTTCAGCTGCAGCAGCATCAGCGGGCGCCCGACGCACGCGCGCGCCCCCTGGCCGAACGGCGAGCCGGCGCCCTCGTCCCCTGCAGCCGCCGCAGCCGCCGCGGCCATCGGGCACCCGCCGCCGCCGCCGCCGCCATCCGGCGCTGGCGAGTCGGCGGCCGCCGCGTCACCTCGGAGCCACCTGGATGGATCGAACTCGTCCGCGTTGTATTTGAGGACACCGCTGCCTGTGTGGCACCACACGCGCCAGCCCTTGGGTATGCGGCGGCCCCTCAGCTCAAAGTCCTGGGTTGCCCTGCATGGGTGCGGCGTTCAAAAATTTGAAAGTTGAGAGCAGCAGGGGACGCCCAGTTTTGCACATTTGGGATCAGCTAGCGACATGCGCGCGGGAGGCGGCGGGGCCAGCCTGCCGCTCAAGGGCAGCACCCGAGCAGACGCAGGGACCGCAGCCACTGCCCAGACACGCGGAAACCGGTGAGGCCTAGTGAGCCGGCTGGCCAGCAACAAAGCCCGCCGCGCCGCCCCGCCCCGCGCCCGGCCGCCGCTCACAGCCGGAAGATCGCCGGCACCACCGGCGTGATCCGCAGCGCCTCCCGCGCCACCGCCTCCGTGACCGGCATGCCCTCCAGCGCCGCGGCGCCCAGCGCCGCGCCGCGCGCCGCGACGACGCGCCGCTGCTCGTCCCGCAGCGCCGCCCACCACCCGCCGCCGCCGCCGCCGCCGTCCGAGCCTGTCGGCTCCAGGTGTTGGAACAGTTTCACAAACGTGGGCCCGGCCCCCACGTTCCCAAACAGGCACGCCACCAGCCCATCAAGGAGCTCCCCATCTGACACGCCCGCCCCCTCCGCCGCCCGCACCAACGCGTCCGCCGCGCCGCCCGCCCCGGCCCCGCCGCCGCCGCCGCCGCCGCTCCTGCGTGCGCGCGCCGCGGCGAGCTCCGACGCATACTTGGACAGCAGCGCCCGCCGCGCGCGCAGCGCCCTGCTGTAAGCGGTGAACGGCAGGTCGATCATCGGCGGCAGGAAGCCGCCGGCCAGATCCGCCGCCAGCCGGCCGCGCTCGAGGCACTCAGACAGGAACGCCGCCGCCTCCGGCGCGGGCAGTTGCGGCGCCGCGGCGGCGGCGGCGGAGGGGGGCGCGGCGGCGGCGCTCGCCTCGCTGGCGTCGTCGGAGGCGGCGGCGCCGAACAGGGCAGCGTTGAAAGTTGCGCTAGCCAGCAGGTCGCACAGCGGCAGCGCCTGCTTGGATGCAGCGACGCCGCCCAGCACGGCCGCCGCCGCCGGGCCGGGCCCGCCGCCCCCGGCCCCCGGTGCCGCCGCCGCCTGCGCGTCCGCCCACGCGGCGAGCACGGCGTCCATCGCGCGCGCGACCGCCCGCGCGCGCGCCGCGATGGCGCGCTCGCCGAGGGCCCGCAAGAACGGCGCCTTTACCTGGGCCTGGCGCGGCTGCGGCAGCACGTTCAGGGAGGAGGGGCCGACGAGGGCGGCGGTGCCGGCCGGCCACCATGACTCGACCAGCCGGCCGTCCGAGGCAAGGACTGAGCGGACGTCCTTGTCGTCATACACCATGACTGTGGGGCCTGGATTACGCATCACAGGTCGCAGGTCGCGGTGTGGCAGGGCGCGCGCGCGCTTTCGTATGTTTGTCGAACCTCTGTTGGCCACGCCGTGGAGCGGGGTCGAGCTCCATTCAGAAACACTGGGCGTGCGACTTCCGTCCTGCCTGCAGTGACGCTTGCCATCGGCGGGCCGTCCTGCCTGCGTTCTCCTATTGGCCCTCCGTCCTGCCGCCGCTGGGATGGGTGCTACGGCTGGCGTGCGGGGGCGGCGCGTTCTGATCAGACTGTGCGGCCGGCTCACCCCCGAGGATATTGGTTTTCCAGAGGGGCCCGTATTTTTGGGTGCGCTCCGCGCCGAACGAGTTGCCTGCGATAACAATACACGCGCGCTGCTCGTGAGTGCGGGCCATCCTGCGAGCCGCCGGATCGTTGCTCTCTTCAAGATCTGTGGCGGCGACAGCCGCGGCGGCGGAGGAATGCCCAACCAGGCACGTATGCGTGCAGCTTCACGCCGGGTCATGCAAGGCGCCGCTCACCGTCTTTCAACAGGGCAAGAGTCTCGCCGACGACCGGCAGGCCCATTGAGCCCTCCGGCAGCGGAAGCGACTGGAGCGTAGCGGCCGTGGCGTTGGCGCCGCCCCCGCCACCGGCTTCCGGCGTGGCGCGGGGTCGCACTGCATGGGCCGCTCCGTGCTGAACACTGGGTGGGGGCGCATGGCGCCGACCGGGCTGGCGCCCACCCGGCATCAGGCGGGCCTGCATGCTGTTTCCTATTTCTTATCTACAAACTATATTGTACCGGGAGCGAGTTGGGGTTCGGTAATTGGTTCACAGCTTGAGATATTGCGAGATCATACAGTACGGTCCCTGAGCTGACATTTTGATATCAAAATCGGTCGCATTCAGATACGCATTAGCATCAAAACACGTTCACCACCGGAGCAGCCAGGCATATGCTGCTGCTTCAGCACCTTGCACTCGCGCTGCGGCGGTGCCCCTCTGTCGCCGCCGCCGCCGCCGCCGCTGCCACGGGCAAGCAGCTCGCTAAGCCACAGCAGCGGCCCTTCAGCACCTACATCCCAGATGTTGTTAAGCAGGCCTTTGAGTCTGCGCCCTTTGAGGCCGCGCTGATCCACGGCGCCGGCCGCGGGCTGGTCGCGACGAGGGCGCTGTCGCAAGGCGACCTCATCCTATCAGAGCGGCCCTTCGTCTGCACGCCGACCCCAGAGCACCGGAGCAAGGTGATGGGGGTTCTCGTGTCGTGCCACAACGCTGCTTCACATAACGGGTGGTAGCAGGAGCAGCCCTGAACACACAAGAGCCAGCAGTTTGCGATGCAAGTCGTGCTCAGGGCCCCACACGGCGGCTGGGTCAACAGCCAAGCGTATGTTTGACTGGGGAGGTGAGGCGGCGCAGGCTCATGCGCGGCAGCTGCCTGCACACCCCCCCCCCCAATTTGGCCCAGGTGTGCTACAACTGCCTCTCAGCCCTGCCCCTTGACGCCAGCAGTGACGCCAGCGGAAGCGACGGCAGCAACGCGGGCACCAGCTTGTGCCAGTCCCTGCCCGCCGGACGTCTGGGCGCAAAGTTCTGTGGCGCCGCGTGCCTGGAAGAAGCACGCGGAAGCTTCCTCGAATTTGAATTGAGATCGGACCTGTCGGCGCTCGACGAGTACTGCGTCCGCAACGGCGAGCGCTTTCCCCTGCTGGCGGCTCGGCTGGCGCTGATGCTGCTGCAGCGGGCGGCGCGCGGCGATCGAGAGGGCGGCGGCAGCAGCAGCAGCAGCGGCGGCGATGGCGGCAGCAGCAGCAGCGGCGGCGGCGGCAGCGGCAGGGGTCCCGACCTCGGAATCGGTGCGGCTCAGGGAGCGTGGCAGATTCAGGAAGCGGCGCCGCCGGGGCCCCTGGCTGAACTGGGATTCCTGTGCTACGCCAACGTGGGGCTACCGCCGCCCCAGCCGTGGCAAGAGTCGTTTGAGCTGCTGAGAAAGGGAATCTCAGGGCGGGCGCCGGCAGCTGACGGAGGCGGCGCGGGCGCCGACGAGGCCCGCGCTGTGGAGGCGGCGGCGGCGGCGCTCGACCTTGAATGGTGGGTACGGTGCGCTTGCCGGGTGCGTGGTGCCTTCAAGGAAGAAAAGCAGGGGAAGCTGCTGTCGCGCACGCCGGCCCTCCCTGTGGCGGTCCTTGGAGCCTGCCACCTGCATCATTATTGTCGCCGTGCTGCCGTCAGTGACACCCGCCGCACCGCCAGCGGCTGCAAGTTGCCAGTCGCACCCCCCGGCTGCCGGCCATGCACGCACGCGCAGCGTCGTAGCGTGGCAGGCTCGTTTAAACGTGCCCGCCAGCCGGACCCTCCTTGTTGACCCACTCACCCGCGGGACCGCGGCGCGCAGGTACACGGCCGTGCTGGCGCGGCTGCACCTCAACACATTCCGGGTGGACTGCGTATTCCCAATCGACTTCCAGGTGCGGGGGGAGTGGAAAAGAGGGAGGGTCAGGGCGCGGCTTGGAGGGGAGGAGGCGCCCGAGCTTTTCGGGGGGGGGGGGGACGGATGAGGGGCCGGCCACTGTGGTGCTGCACCGCCGGCCGGTCAAGTAACTGAGTGAGCTGCCGTCCCTCAGGCAATGAGAGCGTGGGGTGTGGGGGTTGCGAAGCGCACTGCTCGCTGACTGTGTCTCCTGGACTTGTGCCGCCTGCTGGGCGTGTTGGCGGCGCGGGTCCCACCGTCGCCGCCCGGCCGGCCCTGCCGCGCCCCAGGACTTTGCTGCTGCCGCGAGGGCGGCAATCGTCGCTGGCGGCTCCATCAGCGGCTCGGCCCTGTACTTGGTGAGTGAGCGGCGCGGGGTGCGTTACGGGCGCGCGCACGTATTTGTGTCAGAGACTGTTTGCTGGCGTGCACGCCAGGCGGGTGGACTGGGCGGTCGATCAATGGACGAGTCACCTTTCAGCCCGTCGGCTTGCTGGCTTGCGTGCTGTCAACATCTGGCAAACTCTGCAGTCCAAGGTACGTGACAGCCCACCTTGTACAACTGCCCGGCGAACGAAGTAAGCAGCGCCGCGGCGGCCCCCCCCCACCCCACCCCCCCTGCAGGTCGCGGCGCTGCTCAACCACTCGTGCGAGCCAAATGTCAACGTCGCGTGGCCTCGCAACGACGGACGGGTGCGCACGCACGGCTGACGCGCGCTGGGAAACTTGCGCGCCGCCCGCGGCTGGGGCACGGTTGGAGCGAGCAATTGCCTCTGTGCTAGTGCACGGCCTCCCCTGGCGTTTTGCGGGTGAAACGGGCATCAAACTCGTCACACGATATTGGCATGCGAGAATGATTCAACGCTGCCGGCGCCGCGGTTCGCCGGTACCTCCTCCCACGCAGGCGGTCTTCACGGCCGCGCGCGACATCGCGCCCGGCGAGCAGCTGGCCATCACCTACACCGACTCGTCCCAGGCCGTCGCCGAGCGGCGCGCGCACCTGCTGACGTCATACGGCTTCGAGTGCGGCTGCCAGCTGTGCACGGAGCAGCTGGCGGCGTAGCCGCCGGGCGGCGGTTGCTGATGCTGCGGCCCGGCGTGACTGGCCACATGCTACAGAGTACAGTGCCAAGGTCCAGATTAAGTGGTGGTATCTCCGGGCGCCTATTGATTGATTGCTTCTTCTGTGTTCATTGGGCATCATTTGGCGTTCAAGTGCATAGCGCCTGTCCCTGCCCCTGATTCACGTGTCAATTCAACCCAACTCTGCTGCTGGCAGCTCAAAGGCAAGTTACTGCTCAGCCACGCCAGGCCTTGGGGGTCTGCACACACAGCTGAGTTTCAAGGGCAGCGCGGCTGCTTTTTCCAGCAACTAGCGCTGACCTTGAATTAAGGCAATTGAATATGAAGTGAGCAAATGAACGACCAAGCAAAACAATGATCGGCAGCAGGCTGTCGGATTGGACGGAAGGCGTACAGCCATGCATCACAGGGCGCCGGCAGTGGCCTGCCCCTGTTCGGCGCCCAGCGCAATCACCCGAGTGCCATTGATGCCAGAGACGCGCAGGATGGCGGCGCCGCCCCTGCTGCCGTTCGCGCTGCTGTAAACGCCCGCACCTTCGCTGCTGCCGGCGCAATCGCCGCCGCTGCCGCTCGCGTCAGCTGTGAGCTCGGGCCCTGGTATCGCGGCTGCTGCCGCCGCCACCACGGGCGTCGTCGCTGTTGCTGCTGCTGCCGCAAGGGGAGCTGCAGACGGGAGTGCGTTTATCCCTTGGATCACTGCCTGCTCCCATAGCTGCTGCTGCGGCCAGTGCTGCTGCTGTGGCAGATGCAGGTTCTGCTGCTGCTGCTGCTGCTGCTGCTGGTGCTGCCAAAGCTGCTCGTTGCCCGATTGTGCGAAGTGTGAGGACAGCTCCAAGGTTGGCCATTCCGCGGCCTCCGCCGCTCTTAGGGCGCCCCCTGCATCTGCCAGCAGCCGCAGCACCGCCTCACGCGCGCCAGCCGCCGCCGTTCCTGCGCCCGGCCCGCCGGCCAGCAGCAGCGGCGCGAGCGCGCGTCGCGGCGCGCGCAGCGCTGCTGCGAGGGCGGGGTCGCCGCCCTGCTGCTGCTGCTGCTGCCTCTCGGCGGCGCCCAAAAGCGCGTCGACGAGCGGCGCCACGTCTTGCAAGCCGCCGGCGTGGGCGTCCGCGGGCGGGCCGGCCAGTGTGGAAGCTGCAATGAGGAGATCCTGGGAGGAGCACTCTGCAGCCCGCCCCACCAGCAGCTTCGCCGCGGCCCTCGCCAGCCCCTCGCCGCCACCACCGCCGGCCCGCAGGGAGCACCCCAGCCGCACCGCCGCGGCGAGCTGCGGGCCGGCCGCGGCGGGCAGACGGGCGCGCAGCTGCTGCGCGGCCGCGCGCGAGAGGTCGGCGCCGCAGACGCCGGCGGCGCCGCAGGGGCCGCCGGGCGCGGCCGTCAGCAGCGCAAGGAGCTCGATCGTCTGCTGCAGCCCAAACAAGGCAAGGTGCGCTAGCGCCTCCTGCGCCACCCCGCCCGCCGCCCTTGCGTCCCGCGGCGGGGCCGGCGCCGCCGCCCCCGCCGCCGCGACGTGGCAGCGCAGCAGGAGCAGCAGCGCGCGCGGCGGGGG